TCAATAACCAACCCAAGAAACTTAATATTGTTTCACTAGTTCTAGGTAAACTCAATTTATTTACAAACTCAAACTTTTACTATTTACTATTAATCTCAATGTACAACGTCTATCATAAAATTGAACTGTGATGTCAAATCATCGCCTCATATAGCTTTCTTCCCATGCAACATCATGCCGTCATTATGACGTGATTTTTTGTTGTGCGTTACGTCATTTGATGAAGAGAAAATACCGTTATGGTAACGTGAGAATGTCACAGCGAAATGATGTCATTCCATCTCGTCATTTTGACGAATCGATATCACGTTAAAGTAACGTGTATATCTGGTGTCCTATGCTAGGCAAATTGACGTCATTATCACGAATCTACCTAACGTCAAAGTGACGTCTATATTGGGTGTCCCAAGGTTGGATGGAATTATTAAAAATACTAAGCAGATTTAATTCAAAAAACACATGAAAAATATATTATAAAAAATAAATTATACTGGTAAATAAAAAAGTCATGAGCAAGAAACCAAAAGGAATAAAATGACAAAAGAATATTAGAGGAACTGACACCACATACCTAAAATTGTAGATTTAATTTTAATTGAGGGTGGGCGACCATGCTTTACGATTTCTAGTTGGCACCTGTTTTCTTTTATTAGGTACTTTATCAGCCTTGGAATATAGATCTGAGGTAACTTCGACTTTTTTAATTTGGTACATCACTTATCATTATCATCTAAAATAAAAGAACTATTAAAATACAGACCACTGAAAATTCTTAAAGATAGAAAGTAAATTGTGTATCTAGTTATAAAATCTGAGGGGATTACTTCACCGGAGATTGAGGTAGTAGCCCCAAAAACTACCTTCTCAGAGGTATACATATAGTCTTAGTTTATAATAAAAGTTAATAAAAAAAAAGATCATATATCCTGTGAGATGATAAAAGGTATCTAAAACAAGTGACCGCCTACAAATCTTTCATTTTTAAATAAACTATTAAAAAAATACCCTGAAAGAAATCATAATCAAAAAACAAAAGTATCACATTACTCACCAGTTTTAAGACAAAAGACTTGTTTTTATGCAGCGTCAGCCATTTTCTGCTTATCTCACAACTGCCAAACCGTCATCATCTGGTTTTTCAAACTCAACAATGCAATACATCTGTAAAATACCAAATTCTGTTTAATATACTTTATTATTTTGTCACATTTTATTTTTTACCTTTTTCTAAAACATCTTATCAAATAAAGTACAATTTAAAAATGCACCACTTTCACAAGGTCACGACTCTCACGAGAATCATGAAGATGGAGGAAACAGGAAACACCAATGACAGTTGACAATATGACATTGTCAGAATATTTTTTAGTTTAGTACTAATTGTATAAATAATTGTACCGGATTTCATAAAAATGTACTAGGATCGGTTTCCTCTCTGGTTGCCTTAGGAATATTATCAATTGTTTAGGATTTATTACGTCTTTACGGTACTTTTACTAGTTTAACTTATATTAATTACACTGCACAATAGCGGGAAATGTACTGAATTTCGTTTCTAGCGTAAATGTTACCTTTAAGATGTACTAGATCCAGTACAATTGTACTAGATTGGCAAAACTCATTGCCATTTGACATTCGAGGATATTGGATTTGGGTTAGCAATACGTTAAAATGAGACAGACAACAAAATCTGGAATGATTAATTCTAGAAAACGGAACGTTACTAATTATCCATATAAAAATATAAGGCACCGTAATTTTACAATAAAAATTTACAAACTGCAGCTCGAACAAACTTAATATATACGTGTTTTCAGTTGAAGCAGATCTCCAATCAGGTTCTTTATAATTCAACACTTAAGTATTAAAATATACAAAAAAATAACGTAATTATGACGAATTCTAAGTGACGTCTATTCTATGTCATCAATGCGACGTCAAATACACGTTACTGATTAGGATATTGTATTTCGGATAAATTAATACTATAAAATTACGTCATAATGACGAGTCTATATTGACGTCTAATTAACGTTGCAAAAACGACGTCAAAGTAACGTCATCAATTGGGATGTTACGTTTCTGACGAGTAAACCCAAAAAAATCACGTCATAATGACATAATGATGTAACATTTTTATACATTTCTATACTGTTCTCTCTTTTTTTATTCGTACTTTTACCTATAACAACGGCAGCACAGTATAGGGTGATAAGTGACATTGTACTTTTTCTCTCATTTGTATCTTTGCCTATAAAAGTTGCAGGTTACTACACGGTGCAGGACAAGGGCGGATTTAGCTTTTTTTATTGGGGGGGAGGGGGTATAGCGTAGACCGTCGATCGAAATATAACGTATTTCAAATTTCAGATGCCCTACCTAAAAATTGATTCTGGCTACGGCCCTGCCTTCGTTGAGATATTATATAAAAAGAAAATTATATTGCATTAAAAAAAAAAGATTAATTACCTATACAGATATTATGTATAGTATTTAAAAATATTTTATAGGAGAAGTGTTTCATACAGTAGACAAAAATATTACCTACCGAATGGTTAAAAATTACCCAAGATTAAGGAGTATTTAAAAATTCCATAGCATCTTATGCACCTAGTTTATAGATTTTTTTTTTAGTAGGTTTTTGCCGCTTCTTCTATTTTTGAAGAGGTAGAAGCCATCTTATATTCATTATCTCTCTCTCAATTTTATATTCGTTTTCTATTAAAATAACTTAATTTTGCTGTTTAACAAATCAGTTATTGCCATTTTAAATTTAAATTTCATAGATAGTTAATATCTAGAAATAAATCGTAGTAAAAGTATTATTTATTAAAAACGAGAAGAATTAGGAATTTTTATAATCAAGAAACATGTAAAACTCTGCATAATACCTCAAATAATAAAATTGTCGGGGGGACAATTTTATAAAACATTAAATAACAAAAGGTCTTAAAGCAAAAATTTTTCCTCCTCTACTTGAATTTCTCTAAAAAAAAGTCCCCAAGCAAAAATTTCTCCCCCTCTACTTGAATTTCCCTAAAAAAAGGTAATACCTTCCCCCCTGTTGTGTCAAACTTCTAAAAGTAACAAACACCAACCGCTGCCGGGCTCCCTTTATACCGCTGCCGATCCCCCATTTGAGCCCGGGCCCCGGGAATTATTCTTGGCTACCCCCCCTCTAGTCGGCCCTGAATAGGAATAATGTTCACAATTTCACTTTCTTCGATAAGGATTTTTGTTATGCACACTTTTGATAAAACTTTGTAAAAACAAATTAAATATTTACCTTATTAAAATTATATGTATAATTTACAGTTTCTTTATCCTTATGAACATATACATATTTTTTTGTTGTTAATCAAAAACTAATTAAAACAGGTTAGTCTAGGAGGAATAGAGCACATGTGTGTCGAGAATCTGTTTTGATAAAATTTATATTTTAGAAGATATGAATTTTCAATAATCAAGATTTCGACGATTTGTTATGTAAAACAATTTTGTGTGTATTATGTTATGTTTTATAAGTTTTTCATATATTACAATCATGGGGGGGTAATTACGTCCAGTACCCCCACCCGTAAATCCGCCCTTGGTGCCGCGTCAAAATATCCTCTATATTTATGAGTGATATACTCTTAGTCTTAGATGAAATACAACGTATTAAAGCCAATTTTGTACACTCAAGTTTTTTGTATTGAAACGATTGTAATAAAGTAGTGAGTAAAAATACTTTCGCCCTACTCATTTTCGTAATGCCTAAATTATTTGGGTATTTGTATTGGTTGAAAACGGTAGTTGGAAATTTTCTATATAATTCTCATACCAAAATGTGTTTCCTAACAGGAGATTCAATTGACTGATAGTAAGAATAAGGGTAGCAAAGAACTGTTATTTAACTTAGGTACTTAATCAGGGTTCTCACGGGTACCCATTCGAAACCAATTTCCGCATTGTAAAGTGTATAAATTATATATTCGCACGAGGTTGACCGAGTGACTGGCCAACTCATAGAAAAATCCATTGAAATAAATTATAGACGTTTCCTTTAGTTACACGACAATCACATTAAAAACCAAGTAGTTTTTCTAGTTTTTTGTACTCTCTTTACTTACGGGATGCATTTCCGTAAGTACCTACCACTCATTGTTACGTTTTACGAACAATACTTAATGACTCTTATTATAATACTTGCCCACTATCTTAATGATTCGACTTGTAATTGTAATTGCTCGGGGAAAATTAGATTTCCTAAGTGATTTATATTTTTTATTCGTTTTTTCGCTGATGGACTAGTAATTATGGTTTATTTGTATGCATTTATGCTAAAAGGGATTCCTCTCTGCGATTACAGAGGTTCTGTGACTCAGATTTCTTTGTCTCTTCGATAATTGCAACAATATATGCTTAATTGTGAAGATAACAAAAGTGTATGTAAAAAAAAGGAACAAAAAGGACATCCAGAAATAGTAGAAATTGGAAGAAATTGATAAGCAACAGCATCAAACTACTTTCCAAAATCCTATGTCAAAAGAGCATAAGAATCTGTGAAAAAAGATTTTCACAACTGAAAATTTAATAAGTTTTTACCTCTTACTATATAAAATATATGCTAAAAATGTATCTCATGAATAATAATTGATCTATTTAATCATAAATTCTTTACTGCAACTTTTCTCTATGACCTCCAAAATGTCGTTGCTAATAAATATTATTTACTTTCCACAAATTTCAAATATTATAATGCAAAGTATATACTCTCTAAATACCAAATACAATGATAAAATGCAAAAATCTTTGCAACTGCAAACTAAGTTACAATTCTTTATAGCTCAACCAGCTATGCCACTTATTTTGACAACCAAACATCTGAAGTACAAAAAAAATAAGTACTGATAAAAATGCAATGGGTTATGTTTAGATGTGAGATATGCTGTTTTATGAATTACTAGCTTTTACCCGCGGCTTCGGTCGCATTTAGGCCGTTAAATAAGTATCAGAGATCAATACAATAGAAATAGTGATCCAATTTGATGATATATCTGCCCTTGTACCGTAAAAGTTGGTGAAAATCCGGGCATTCTTATCACTTTATCAACTCCAAAGGGTGTCATTTGAAAGCAAGAGTTATACTTTCTTATTTTGCTTAGGAATTGCTTAGACTCATCAGTAACACTTAACAATAAAGTTTTTAAAGGCTCTTCTGGTTCACCAAGTAATGGAAGTGAAACTTTACCACTGGAACAACACATTCCAGCAGTTTCATTTTTCCATTTGAAAGCATCGCAGTACTGACATTTTTTATTCATTGGGCCAATAACAATTAAAGGTTGATTGTGATATTCAACTGAAGGATCATATTGAAACCCAGTACCATTAAATACAGACCAATCCTTACGCATGAAATTTCGACGGCACGTGGTCTGCATTTCTGCCGTATGAATTCTTCTCGCTTGCGATTGTTCTGGCGTTTCTATCGCTCTTCTAGCTGCCTGCATATATTAAAATATTATATTAAACTTTACCTACCATTTTTTAGTTTTTATTGTAAGTTTAATCATTTTCTCAATTTGTCACAGATGTCAAATAAAAAATATATTTTTTATTGGCAAATAAAATTAGAACCAAAATGTTTTAAATGTAAACAGTTAACCAAACGTGTATGATATGCAATTCGCCCGATGCTCGTCGCTTAACACTTGACGCAAGAGTTGATGTATTCGTGAAAGTTGATATATATATTCCCCCATATACAAAATGTTGTAATTTACATGTTGACGAAACTGGGCGACTTTTCCAAAGGCTATTGACAGGCTTACGCTCCGTACTTCGTCCTTGTATCATTCCAGGTAAGGAAATGCAAAGCTTTTTGTCAAAAATGCGTCAATTGGCTAAAGCTGGCTTGACTATCATCAATGAGAATGACATTGCCGATGTGGACTTTCAATGCATTTCACCGGTGACCAAAAGAGCAGTTCCATGAATTGTATACGTTTTGCGACCCTGTGCCCACCGACGGCGGTTTCCGTTATGTTAAAAAAAAGGATATCTAAGCATTTCTCTGCAAGTTGAGACAGGGACTATCAGACGAATTCATAAAAGCTATATTCCATTATGGTAGCCGACAACATGTTAGTACAATTATTGCTACTGTCAGAAAATCTTTAATTCAACGATTTGTTCCCAACAATATTGGGTTCCAGGTTATTAGCCGCCAGAATTTCATGGCTCAACATGTTCCCGAGTTCGCAAACACCTTGTACAATGATAATCCCGATATTCCTTAAGCCATTGTCTATATCGATGGTACTTATGCCTACGTTACAAAGAGTAGCAACTTTCGCATCTTAAGACAGACTTTTTCAATTCATAAAGGACGACACCTTGTGAAACCAGCTTTACTTGTTACTCCTGATGGTTACATATTGGCCATTCAGGGCCCCTATTTTGCGGAAATAATGACGCTGCTTTATTGCGCAATGAGTTGGACAATGACGGCGACATTATGCGCAACTGGTTTCAGGAGGGGGATATCCTAATCGTTGATAGGGAATAGAGAGATGCAGGTCCGTTGCTAGAGCCTCTGGATATTACCCAATACATATCCCATGTTGTTGAACGTGGACAGCAGTAGCTCTCCACTGAGAATGCTAATGCTTCACGGCTTGTTACGAAGACCCGATGGATTGTGGAGGCCAGAAATGGCCACATCAAATCCATTTTTTGGTTATTCAAACAGCTTATTCATACTTCTCATATTGAATACCTGGGTGAATTCTATCGAATAGTGGGAGCTATTATCAACAAATACCACCCATTAATTGCTATGGAAGGCTACAAAGCAGACATGGCACGTGAAATACTGGCCAAGGCGAATGAAGTCAATGTTGTAGTGGCTCGTGTGGATGAATTCAGATTGAGAAACCGAAATGCGATGTGGATACATATTGATGCGGCTAACATGGATGACTTTCCTCGTTTGGATTTAGACTATCTGCGAGATATTACTGTTGGAATATATCAAATCAAACTTGCACCTTCATATATACAGGACAAGTTGCGGCGGGATGCCATAGAAGAGCTCCACATAGATCAGTTAAATGCAGAACCAGGATTGCTACGAGCAAGAGTGTATTCACGATTCCGAAACGCCACCACGTACCAGATATGGATTGCTTATACAACTATTAACGAACTCGAAGAAAACGATCAGGAAGAAGATGTCATTATTGGACATTATTGCACTTGCAAATCGGGTGCTAGAATAATATGGTACTTGGACTTGGGATATGCAAGACATGAACCTGAAATTCGGTACCCTCCGTCTAACCTTCTTCATAGCGTTTCTGACGCTGCCAACCGGCTAGCGCAATGGCGGCCCCAATAGAGGTATCCAATGGTTTAAATTGTAACAAGGCTTTCCTTATTAAATTATTTTATTAATTGTTTGATTTAATTGTTGTTTATGTTTATTTCCACTGCGAACCGTAGTATACGAGTAATCAATGTAATAATTTGGTTTTTTTATCGTTACTTCGGGTATCTTCAAGTAACGATACTCGAGTGCCGAATTACTTTTTCAACATCACTATTGACAACTATTTATTTTTCATAACGGTCTTAAATAAAACCTTTAAAATAGTTCAAAATAAGATAGAAAACAGAAACAAACATCCAATGAGTAAAATACGAAAACGATCGTTTAGCGAATGTGACATTCATTGGTCAGTCTCTCCGACACTATTGGTTATTGGACTTTGGCGCAATGGTAACTTTTAATCAGTAAGGCTTCCTCAATACAATATTAAAAATTCAGGCAATTCACACATAGATCACTTTTCCATAAGGTTTGAGCGGGGTCCTTTATGTTTGATACTTATTGCTTTTTTCGAGACATACTCTATTACCAACTGTAAACTAATTTACCAACAGCCTTATTTTTATTTATTACCTGCAGTAATCCAAATTACCAATACATCTACTATTTTTGAAAATACTAAATTATACAAACAAGGCAATAAAAAAATGTCATTAAAATAAAAGATTTCAGGTTTGTATACAACAAACAATCTAGGCTAGAGGGTAACACGACTGATAATTACAGGCAAACATAACTTTATGTAAACTATTTAAATGTACATACCATTTCTCATTGAGTATATTAAATTAACTGGTTGATCCATTTTTTCGATTAAGACTTTTAAAGTAAAAAACCATTTGTCTCTTTATCTTTATAAAACGTTTATTATACATTTCCATAATAATGTCAAGTAGTTACCTTATCAGAATAATCAAATTTTTCCTTTTTGGGGGTTTTGTGGGAAACAAAAAATTCACAAATTTTTTGCTTACTTCTTACTTCATAGTATTTACAACTGGGTACAAAATAGACCATTTTGAAGTAGCTTTAGAATGGTCTTAGACACTGAAACAAAATATAAAACAAATTAGATTCGTAAAACTTTATTATAGTTAAATAAAGAAGTTTTTTGGGAACAATCGTTGAATTGACACACATACTTTCAATTTATTAATGTCACAGTTCTTAACTAAACATATTTGTTTTAATGAGCACAAATAAAATAATAATAAAAGCATTTCGCAGTAGAGAAATGACGAATGACGGAATGACAGTTTGTTTGATTTGGTACAGTGTTGCTAGAATATGTTTTTGTTATGTACCAGATTTGTTTAAAAAATGTACCAGATTCCTTAAATGTATCACATTTTTCGAATTATATTTGCAGTGACATCTAATTCATTGAAGAGGAAAAACAAGGGGGTCTTTATTGATAACGAACCCAAACAAGGAATACAATATATATTTTACACGTGAACACTGATGCACGCAGAATGTACTACATCTAGTACAATTGTGAATTGTACTAGACTGGCAACACTGGTTTGGCAAACTTGTTTGTTAGCGTCGCGCCAGTTAATGTGTTATTTTGCGCAGTTTGAAGGATTTGTTGATATGTTGTCTTCTCTTTTTAGCTATATGCATTCGCCATATCGTTTCACTCATGTTAGGCTCACTCATCATAATGCGCCACAGTATACTTAGGTATACTGTACCATAGAGACGCGATGAGCAATGATGTACCAAAAAATACATGAAAATAAAAATAATAAAATTAAATTTATATTTTTATGTTATTTATGTAATTTTAAAATAATGTATTTTTATGAAATTTAACTAGGTGTTCACTGCACAAATGAACTAATGGAGAAACCGCCCCTGTTCTCTATGACTAGCCATAGGCGTATCAAAGGGAGGAGGGGTGGTTGACTTTGGTAATCAGACAAGTGAGACCTTAAAAGCCCAAACAAGACAAAGCTAGACTTAAAGGATTATAGCATGAGTATTTGTGGAAAATGGCTCGCATTAAAATAATAATGGAAGAAGTTAAAGTACATAAAAAAGTACCTAAAACGTTAATTTATAAGCCTACTTATTTAAACACTAGTATTTTCATTTGAGTGAATTATTAAATTATTAGTAATTACACATTTCTTTTTATAGAAATTTATATTTATAGCTTTGTTTTCTGATATGCCCGATTGTTTTGTTAAAAAGTTTAATAAAATGCAAAATATTTATTTCTAATTTTTATATACCGCCGCTGTTTCTAGATCAGTTTTAAAATATACTATACAATTATTGCGAAATCAATGTTTTTGGGTTTTAATCAATATAGTGCTCAGGGCCGACGAGAGGGGGGTAGCCTGGACTAATCCCCGGGGCCCGGGCTCAAGTAGGGGCCCGGCAGCGAAATAAAGGGGGCCTGGCAGCTTTAGGTGACCCTGACAGTGCTTTAATTTTTTCAGTTTAGATGCACAGAATTTGTCAAAACATTGTAAAAATCATTGTCATCAAAAACTAATTCAGGATGCTCTTCAAAAAAATCAGTCATGCATTCTGGAAATAAATAACGATATCCGATATTTTTTGCTTTTTTCTCTGTGTTGGTATCATTTTTCAAATTTAGTTTTCTTAATAAAAGTTTGACATAAACGTGCCCTACATTATATGTTACAATTTTTTTTTAATCTTAAATAACAAACACGATCGTTAATGATATTAAAAATGCAAACACTTATTAAATTACGTTACTAGTAATAAAGAAACCGATGTAAATTTTATTAAAATATTTTCGAGTAGTTTTTAGCTCGAATTATGGAAATATGACCCATTATTTCGTAAATTGTCCAAAAAATCTAGTTCAACTAAGGTGAACCGCTTAATAATCATTACAATCATGTAGTTACATTTTTTTATTGTGTGACCAAAAGTGTTGTTCTACAATGTTGTAATAATTCTTCAAAATTATGTTTCTATGTCAAAGAACCTGTCTTTTGAGTTGTCGTATAAAAAAAACATGATTCTCTAGATGAATTAGCAGTTTTTTTTTCGCTTAGATAGAGCGAC